AAGATGGAAGGAAGGAACATAAAATATATACACACATACATATATATGTATATAGGAATATACAGCTATGACATGATATTTCCTTCCATCAGAGCAAACCCAGACATCATTTGTGGAAAAATGCTTGGCCAAATTAAAAACTTGAAGTGAAACCGTTTGTTGCTTATTGGTGGTTTACCAAGTATTTTTTTGAGCTGATTGTCAAATGCAATGAACTGACACAAAAATTATGAACTTTCTACTAAATATGTTATTTAGCAATGTGTTTGTTATAGATGTAAAAATGTTTATATAAGAATTTTGGTTAGCATAATTAAATATGCACTAAATATAATGAGACTAAATTTCAATAGCAATAAAAAATAAAGTAATAAGCTTTAAAGAAACTGAGCCCAGGTGGTATATTTCTGCTATAGCTAATGCTACAGTGCCTCAGTTCTGCTTTGTGCCCCAGCTTCTTTATATTTCACATTTTAATGTTTTTATAGGAAAATAATTTTATTTTCTTATTTTGTACAAAGATTAATAGCTAAGCCAGATAAATTAATGTTTCAAAACATTTACCTGGATTTCACATGTAAAACTTCGTTGTGCTTAGAAACTAGTACTTGAGCACTCACATTCATGCTTTACACACAAAATAATTTCCAAAAACTGGTGTAGATTTCTTCATTTACAGCTAAAATTTGCAGCTGATGTAAAACTAAAGTCTAGATCTAAGAAAACCCACACCAAACTTCTGATTTCAGTGGACTTGAGGTCTAAAGTCCGTCACTGGAAGCAGAATTTAGGCTGAGGTTTCTAAGGGCTGTAGAGACCTCTCTAATGGGATGTTCAGTGACCTAGAAGTGAATTAGGTTCACGAATAGACCAACATCAGAAGAAAATCAACAGACTTCTCTAAGATGTGGGATACTCTAAGTCATGTTGGGTAAGTCAGAGCCCTCAACAACAGCAGAAATTAAATCCTGGTATTGCAGACCATGAGCTGATGGACTCACTTGCCTGGGGTTATCTCTACTGGTCTCCATCGGAAATTGTCTTCCCCAACATATCACATTTTTCAAGAAGAGGACAGACATACGCTTCACTCCTCTGCAAAGCCTCTGTGGCAGCCAGGCCGGGAGAAAAGGGACACTTTCTTCTCACTCTGTGTTAACTGTGCTGCAAACAGCTAATTAAATGATAGCAGCCTGACAGAACAGATTATATGCGATCCCACTATTAATTAGTAGTTACTCCTTCCTGCATGGGAAGAGTTCAGTGTAGTCACATCAGTGGTCTCAGGGCCACACAACCCACTATTATGGGCCTACTCTCTGCACAGAGAAGCTGTGCGCCCAGAGTGGCCACCCCCTGACCAGGTTAAACCAGAGGGCCTTGGGCTTTTAACCCTGGGGACCTGTGGCTGGAGCTGAACAGTTCAGAGCTGAAGAGTTCAGAGTCAAACCTGCTTTTCTTTTTTTTCCTTTTCCTGGCTCCTTATGAGCATAAGTTGTCCTTATCCCCTTTAATTTGGTTCTCTGCAGGTAAAAAATTGCCACGGGAACACAAGGGAGTGCTGGACTATGGTGCTGATAGACATTACAGGCGTTCATAGAAGGTCTATCACAGTGGCATCTGCAGGGAGCATGACACAGGCAACCAGGCAGCATTGGCCTGTGGAAACTGATGTTTACCATCCTCTGCCTCTCTCAGCTGAACAAAGACAATGCTGATAATTGGGGGGCACAGCAGGTTGTTCCCAGAAGGCTGGTTGGTGGCATGGCTGCCGCCCTGCACGTCTGGGTCACTCCTGCAGTAAGATCCCCAAGACCTTTGGGGAAATGAATGGGTTGGTGGGATTTGCTCTATGTTGGCAAAGGACTAGACAGTACAGGAAGGGAAAAAGGGAGTACAGGGCACTTGGCTTTCATCCCTCCTCCCTGAGGAGGTCTCCTGGGATTTGTTGGTGTTTGGTGGCATATCTCCTACAACCATTGCCCTTCTTGCCCTATGTTAGTAGCCTGAGAACCTTTCTCTGTTTGTTTTACTTCAGTTAAGAGCAAACTGAACTTGGGCGACGGGCAACACAGAACACCTCTTGAGCCTCACAGTGGCTCCTTTCCTCTCTTCTGCTCATTTCAGGTGGTGTCACTGCATGGTGAGAGCTAGAGACAGGCCAAGGGACAGAGCTCATGAACATGCTGCTGAGAAGGACAGCTCATGTCCCCCTACAAATTTGCATAATCACACAGAAAATGTACACCATGTCCTACGCAGGAAGGGAATTAAATTAAACCTGTGGTGTTGCTGAACTATCTCAGAATTTCAGCAGTAATTATGACTACTGCAAACTCTTTTGATGCCTTATTTGAAAGGTCCAATATCTTTTTAGACTTACCAAGCAGTGGCTCATCAGCAACAGCACACAGGAACAACATGAACAAAAGCATCCATGACCATATGGATAACAGGAATAAAATATAACTCTGAATCATACAGTTATTTGTAGTCAGATCGTTCAAGTCACTTTATACAACCAAAGTATTGAAGCACAGTGAACGCAAGAAATGAGTGGAGAAAAAAAAAAAAAAAAAAAAGGGAAGTTTGAACAAAAGCATCCATGACCATATGGATAACAGGAATAAAATATAACTCTGAATCATACAGTTATTTGTAGTCAGATCGTTCAAGTCACTTTATACAACCAAAGTATTGAAGCACAGTGAACGCAAGAAATGAGTGGAAAAAAAAAAAAAAAAAAAAAGTGGAAGTTTCTAATCCAGGATCATGAGCCTATCTGCTTTGATTTTTGTCTCTCAAGTACATAAAAAAGAAAATCATCTGTCAGAGCCAGAGGGAAGTTTTAACACATATTGTTACTTTGGGTTATTGAATGCAACAGGGACCTGATGTTGGAGCTACATTAGAATTTCTGGACAGGCACAGGTACAGGGGACTCAGCTGGCTCTGCTGGGGCAGATCTCAGACCCCAGCATGTGCTCGACTAGAAGAACAAGTAGTAAGACCAGAGAGAAGACAATACAATTTCAACCCTAGGCTGTCAATTCAGGTTCAATAAATACTCCTGTCTTACTGCCCGGTTTAAAGCTGACATTGTTTTTCCTGGGGTTTTTGTGAGGTGGGAAAATACCCCTAATAATGTAGTCTTACAACTGAAAGTAACTTGCAGTCTGAGGAGCTGCCTGGTCTACCCTGTAGAAAGGAGAAACACCAGAGGTTTTAGGTGACCTTTTCAAGGGCAATTGTTCTCTCAACCTTCTTTTTTTTTTTTTTTTTTTTCTTTTTTTTTGTAGCAAAGAAACATGGAAAATTCTATAGAAGAACACAGAACTCACAATACAGCATAGTTATCAAGATGAAGCTTGAGAATTAGTAACAAATGCCAGAGCAAAACGAGTAACAAATACAGAGATTCAGAGCTGCAAGAGGAGATTTACCCATCTCTTACTGTTAGAGTCGGGTCTACTCTACTGGTAGAGTCTTCCCCAGTACAATGGAGGTTCCGGCTGCAAATGCTGGAGGAATGTATCACATTCAAGGGGTACAGGGAAGAGCAAGGGCAAGAGCAAGACAAGGCAGCAGCAGGAGAGGGAAGAAAACAGAGTACCTGGGGGTTCATTCAGAGGTTGGGCTGATTGCACAGAGACAGGGGGAGCTGCTGATTTGGGTGGCAGTGACTGGTCTGGATTGTGATGGAGCCAGGAAGCTGCAGGTATTTGACTGTATGGTCTGTGGCTGCTGTAATGCAGGGAAGGACACACTGCCCATGCTCAACTGCTGGACTGGGACCAAGGAAGTCAAAAGGAGGAGGGGGCTGGGGCAGAGGAGGCAGAAGGGCTGGAGGGACAGGGCTGAGCAGAGAGGGACAGTGTTTCTGGCCATGGAGGAAGTGAATAAATGTCTCCAGACCAGAATGAGATGGTGGAAACTCTTGAAACTGGCTAAAGTATGACATGGGGCATCCCCAAGCTTATTAGGTCAGGGGGGCTGGACAGAGAGGTGCCAATAAACGTGCTGAGCTGTGTACAGAGGTAAGACAAATTAAAACTGGTTTTTCAGAGCTCAGCAAGAGCACTGTCAGAAGGGGTAGTAACATATACAAAGCTTTTTGAGTACAAAGACTGAACCCAGGGGAGCTTTGGAGGAGCCCTGGAAGGGCTGCTCTCACCATTTAGAGGGATGGCCAATAGGTCATATAGTGGTGCTAGGCTGCCTCAGACATCTTCTGAGGTTTTGAGGCTAGGCCAGTGCTGGTCCACCCTATGGTGGGCATAGGGACGTGAAAGGTGCTCTGGGCTATGTAAGTTCCTAGGGTCAGAGAAATATCGTGTTTCCACAGTAAAATAAAGGGGGCTTGGGCGGGTGTGAGAGCAAACACTGAAACTGGTTTAGAAAGAGGCATTTTTATTTATGAAAGTGGGCAGGGGCAGTCCTGAGTCTCCTAATGGTCTTTACCTACCCTGCGTATGAGAAACTAGAGAGACATTGTGCAGTTGAGTCAGAGGCTTCAGCAGGTTATCCCAGCTCGGATTTAGCTGTGAAACCAAACTCTGGACAAGTATTGTTATGGCAAAATCATGTCAGCTTAGAAGCCCTTGCCCCATGTCACTGTCCTTCTAACCTATCTTAGAAATGTGCTCAAGCAGTGCTTTGAGTTGAGTGGCTTGGGTGACAAGGTGGACTTCAGTTATTTTTAACCAATTTGGCCAGTTAAATCTGATGGCACCTTGCTGATGTGGAAGGGAGAAAGGAGCAATCAGACATGGGGAAACACAAGCTTGATACGTAAAATTATTAAAGACTGGGCCATATTTCATTGTGCGCACTATTTACAAATATGGTCCTATGTTTAATGTTAATGGAAACCATCATTCATGCATCATTGCCATAGGAACATTTCTATTAACATTAAACATACTTTGATGCCAGTAAATGTTACTGGCTGGCAGAGGAAAGTTACAATGTGTGTAATTTTGCTCTTTATTTTCTCTTACCATGTGTAGGTGTCTGGGTGGCACTGTTTAGTATCAGGTGATTATAATTTTGTTCTTGGTCATCTGAAATTCACAGAAAAAAAACTCCTTTAAGAAACAGCTTAGCATACCCACTGATCTGCAGATGATAATTACAGCTCACAGTATTCACAGGAAATCTCAGCATGATTAAAGAAAGGCGAAGAAAATGCTTAAGAAAGCAGAAGATTCTGTTATGTAGTTCACTTAAAATTCCAGATGCAAGAAGAACACGATAATGGGAAACGGCTCTCCTTCTGCTGAGCCTGCAAATTAGCGTTATCTGCAAAGGTAAGAAGCATGTCCAGACAGGAACAAACCACAGCTGGTGTACCGACATCGGTGGTGTTCTCCTGGGAACTGATGGACCCTCCCAGGCCCTGCTGCACTGCTCCACCACCATCCCATATGGAGCCTTCCAGGACGTTAGCCCCAACTATGTGAAAATCAGACGCTCCCACTGTGACTGCAACAACCACAACAACGTCCTGCATGAGCACAGGGAAAGATCAAATAAGTGGCCTCATAAACGCGGGATGTAGAGTTGAATAGCTGCACATGGACTGTAGATCTCCTGCCCTGAGGAGTGAGAATCCTGCAAGACCCAATGCATTCATTATTAAATGCACCGTGCTGCAAAGCAGGAGGAACGATCAATGCCAGAACAACTGCTACAATTGGGTTAGTAACTACCCTTTGGGTTGGAAAACAATGTTCTCTCTTTCTCACTGCAATAAAACCATTAGACAATTGACTGCTGATAAACTTCTGTCATCTTTAGTTTCCAGACAAGCCTTCAATAAGGAATGAACTCTTTGTCCAGATCTTTATAGCCTGTTATGGAACTGCAGTAATGTAGGGTGAGAAGAAATTTCAAGAAATCTTGCATCTCATGCTCTCCCAATGCAGGATGGGCTGGTCTGATGTCTAGTCTGCTCTTTTGGAAAACCTATCATGGATTTTTCACTTTTTCCCCAGAATATCTCTTTGATTAGGTTTTTTCTACTGCTTTTTAAGCCAATTTCTTCCTTCCTGTCTACCAGGGACATGAAGAAAATCCCCCTTATTTCTGCAATAGCTCTTTATGACAAAGCTGTTACTATGCGTTCCCTTAACTTTATTCTTCAAGCTGCCAAATGCCATTTCCTTTATGATTCCCTATAAAACTTGCTTTGCCTTTGATTATTGTCATTTTAGCACCCTATGCTCTCTCCAATTGACCTAGATCCTTCTCAAGACCGAAATACAGTCTGAGGCATGTTTCTGAGAAGAGACCTTACCTGTAGAGTGGAGTGACTGGATTTTTCCCAGTCCACACAAACTTGCATGAAATTTTTCTTTTCCTAGTTCATGTAAAATTTGTGATCCCTTATGATTCCTTAGTGTTTTTCCAAAGAACTGATGCTACCTGCCCAATTGTCCTTCAACATATGCAAGGCTTTTTAATATTCCTGTTTCAGTCCAACGCGTATCACTTTTCTTCAACTAATCAATTTATTTTCAGTCTATTACTGCAATTGGTCAAGAACATTCTAAATTCTAATCCCATTCTTTAATAGACTTATGGTCATCGAAGCTTCATATCATCTGCAAATTTAATAAGCAAATTCCTTTTCCACCAGTAACAAAAAGACTAAATGCAGGACCACATCAGTTCATCCTTCCACTGCTATTTAGTTACCTTTTATAGTTACTCAGCTATTGTGTCATCTACCCTATAAAGGTTCATTAAGAACATACTTCTCGAATTGATTTCACATTACTTTCCCAGAAACTGCTGAAAACCTTGCTAAGGTTATGGTCCTTAGTATAAACTATTTCTCCCTGGTTACAAAACACAATAAAAAAAATTAAAAATAAGTTTAGCTTGACATGATTTGTTTCCGAGAAGTCCATGTTGGTGCTACTTTATCTCACTGGAAGCTCATTTTGCCGCAGAGCGTGCTGAGTCATCTGGCTTGAACTCTCTTTAGACCTTTCATAGATTTCGGTGGGACTGACAATTTATTACTAGAAAGCTCTTCCACATGTAGATATTTCTAGATCATGAGAATCTGGCTGTCAATCACCAGCTTGATTATTCTCTTAGACAATCTAAATAGTCTGTTCTTCTAAAAAGCTGTGGGGCTGAGGTCTGGGCTGGTATGGACTTAATCAGATTCGGGCTCATGACACTGTCAAGTATAAATGTGTTTTGAATATTACTGTTAGACTGCTGTTTAGTCATTACAGCCAGCAGCGGGGCTTCTGGGACTGCCAGACACACAGCATTGGAGCAGTCTCCTCTATGCATAATTTTTAGGGGTTTTGGTCGCAAAGGCAGTTGTTTTGTACAGAGAGCATTAGGGATGTCTGTGTCCTGAGAACACCTGTTTCTTATGGCTGGTTTTCTGTTATCAGGTTCATAAAATCATGGAATCAAGGAGGCTGGAGGCATCTCTGGAATTTGTCTAGTCCAGCACTCTGCTCAAAGCAGGGTCTGCTAGGGTTGTTTACCCAGGGCCATGCTCATTAGGGTTTTGAATATCTCCAAGGATGGAAACTCCAAATCCTCTCTGCAAATTTTCTTCCAGTGTTCAACCACCCTCACAGTAAGGACGTTTTTTCTTATGTTTAAGTGGAGTTTTCTAAATTACAGTTTGTGCTCATTGCCTCTGGCCCTGTCGCTGGGAACCACTGAGAAGAGCCTGGCTCTATCTTCTTTACTTACCCATGAGTTATTGATGAGATCCTGCTGAACCTTTCTCTTCCCCTGGCTGAAAAGAGGCAGCTCTCAGCCTCTCCCATTACAACCGATCCTCCAGTCCCGTAAACATCTTCCTGGCCCTTCGCTGGAGACACTCTAGTTTGCTCGTGCCTCTCCTGTACTGGGGAGCCCATCACTGGTCCCAACACTACAGGTATTTCTTGCCAGCACTGAGCAGAGGGGAAGGATCACCTCCCCTACCTGCTGGCCACACTCCTCCAAATACAGCCCAGGGTGCAGGTGGCCTTCTTTGCCTCAAGGGCACAATGCTAGCTCACGTTCAACTTAGGGTCCATCACATATTGTATCAGCTATTTTACCCACCTTTTATTACTTTATTTATATTTATAAGTTATTAAATTTATTTTTGAAAGTTGCAAACTAGGCAGTGAGTAATGAGCCTGTTGTATTTTTTGATGACCTCTCCTTGACATTTGCAGCTCATACGTTCATTGAGAATGACTGAATTTCTAAATGGCCACTTCTGAAAGCCTTAGAGAGTGAGATATTTCCCCAGGAGGTCACCATCCTTCCACGTTTTGTATAGTAGCCTGTGGTTCCTTATGCTAGTCCCTCTGCAGGGCTGCTAAGGACAGCAAGAACTTCCAGCCTGGTTACAGCAAAGCTAATTTACAAATCAAATCTCAGAAAACATCCAAGCACCCAAACTGTTTGTCCTCTTCTCAACTAATGTTGCTTACACACTGCAGGAGATGACAGATAAAAGTTTACACAGAGATGGAGACATTTTTGTGTGAAATGCAAGCATTTAAAGCAGTAGCAAAAATAACTTGAACACATTAATTGTTCCAGGAGGGGAACAACAAAGGTTTCTCCTGAAAACACAGAGTACTCCAGTGCACTCACTTACTCTCACAACCTCACTCCTGGGTGAAGCTGTGTCTTCACTGAAGACAATTACACCAGCACCTACATGAATAGAACTATTCTCTTCTGATTCTGATCAGCTTTCTGTTACACCTCAATAATTTCTCTTTCCCTTCCCTTCCCTTCCCTTTTTTTTTTTTTTTTTTTTCTGTAAAAGAATTAAAGTGTTCTGAGGCTACTGCTTAACAAATGGCATCCAACATAGTCAGACCCTGCATTATTGGCATTTTCATGTGGCTGAGCTAATCAGGCATCTGAATGCAGCACTGGGCTTCATTTACCACTTCCATAGCCTATTGTAAACACTTTCTAAGCAATAAAATGCTTTAAAATGACGGCTGAGCCTTCCTGCACCTCTTCAGGTTTAACAAGATAATGCTGTTAATTGTGAAGTGCCAGTTAGGCAAAAGCATATCTATTGTAGAGACAAGGATCTGAGTTCAAAGCTATTTACTAGGAAACTCCATTAGAGAAATAAAGGATTCACATAGCTCTGAATTGCCAGACCACAATATGAAATTTCTGAGCACAGCTGGAGGAGTGATCAGATACAATAACCAGCAAAAAGAATGAGACATTTTACCAGCAGAAGGGAAACCAGTACTCCCAGCCTCTTTGCAATCTGGGAGAAGACACACGGACAGACAGGGATTTTAAGGGTTTCAGGTTTTTTTCCCAAAGGAAATGGGTTCGCACAGTAAGGACAGAACAAAATGCTGCATCTCACGCAATTATATCTGTGGTCTATATGTGACTTCAGTAACCAGTGCTCTGGGAAATACAACTTTTCACCCACGTGGGGAAGGGGGGGTCTGTGATGAGGTGCATTTATGAAAGAAAGGAAGATGCTGTTGAAGGGAGAAAGAGAAGGCTGTAGGTACTGGGAAAGGCTAAGGGCTAAGTTTCTGCCCAGATGGCCCTGCTGCCACCCTGAGGTCACCCTTCTGCTGCACCTATGGATGTCTCTAAGCACTCCAGAACTGGGTGGGACCCACCACTAAGTACCTGTATTAGCTTAGAGAACAGTGAAACCAACCAAAAGCAGGCTGTTGCTGACAGGATTGGGGCAGCCCTATCTCCTGCCCTGACTGTGTCCCCGCAGAAGAATTTGTACAGCTACCCCACCAGCCCTGGGGAAGTGGCCCAGCTGGACATACATTCACAGTCTCATCAACAAGAGTGGTCCGCAACCAGGATCCCCGCCCTGCATCCTCATGGCCACCAGTGCTGCCACCCGCAAGCCCTAGCACCCTACCTCTGCCGGTGGCAGTGACATCTTGGACCCTGAAAAGGAGAAATCTTCCAAGTTCAGCTCCTAGTTTCTAGTTGCTAAACAAATGAGCCCATGCACCACTGCTGAGTCCCTCCTGTCTCGCTTCTCCCTATCGGTTCCTCCTGTTTCTCCAGGTCT